CCCCAAAACCCCAAAACCCCAAAACCCCAAAACCCCAAAACCCCAAAACCCCAGTCTGTAATTTTGGTATTGAACTCAAGTTTTTATATAAACCTAGTCCTCATTTCCATATATAGCTTCGTATACTTTGACGTCAGCCATTCCATTGGATTCAAAAATTTCTTGGATATTGTTCAGGGTAATTTCTACTTCTGGATCGTTTTTAAATCTGCATGATTTAAGAGAGTTCTTAAGGTTAGATTTTCCAATAGCTTCGATAATACCCCACAAGTGTTGAGGGTGGTTGTTCCAATCGCTCTTTGCGGGTTCCCCTCAATTTTTAAAGATAATATGCTCTATTTTGAACTCTATTTGGTTGCTTATTTCAACTTCTTGCCCTTCGAGTGTTCAATACCAAAAGGTTAAAAATTTAACTTGAGAGAAGCAACCAAAAATTTTCCCAAGAATATCTGTTGGTACGTGAAACTTAGATAACACAAGCTGATATATTCCTTGAGAATTAATTGACTCCAGTATGCTCCAATATCTTGTGATATCCTCTTCTGGTTCAAGATTTTTGAACCAGAAGTGTTTTACTTTATTTAGGGAAATGATTGCTTAGTAGCTCATATGCCTTGTCGGAATTATAACCTACTAACTCAATTCCTAAGGTGCTTCAGTCTGGAAGAATATACCCATCAAGATTATCAAGAAGCTCCTCAATGATTTTGATATGCTTAGAGTTGTTTAAAATTAGTCTCAGTCTGCCATCTTCGTTGTAAGCATCAGCCATATCTTTATTATGCTTCCGAATGTAGCCTTCTATTCTATATTTTTGGATTGGAATAGGAGTGTTTTCCCAATCATCCCCTTCTCTTCTCTCATCTTCAAAATTATCATTATCAAAAGAGTCATTTTCTTCGTTACTATGGTTATTATTTCCGTCCTGAATACATCCAAGAACTCTCTGAAAGTCAGATATAATGTTCTGGATATCTCGAACTACAACCCCTTTCTTTGGATCAAAAGAATTTCCAGCTTCAATTTCATGCTCAATTTCTTTATTTCTCAGCTTCTTTCTCATCTATCAAGACTTGAATCTCTCCTGCCATCTCCTCGGCTTTCTCTCTCTTCAGGAATACTTTGGTAATGCCATATTCCTTCAGTACCTTGTAACTATTCTGCTGGCCAGGAAGAAAAGTCTTGCCTTGTTTCGTTCTTCAGGCAATCCCTTCTCTATTACCTCCCATTCCTGGGAGTTCTATATCTGTAATGTCCACCTTATCGTCAAACTGTAAGACCTGTATATCTCAGTGGCCTTCTGGTCTTCTAGACCTGTTTTTCTTATTAGGTTTTCTCTCGTCTGATGCTTGGCAGCCCATTTGGAATTATTGGATAAAATTGTTAATTCAGGTGGAAAGTTTGGGTTTTGGGGTTTTGGGGTTTTGGGGTTTTGGGG